CTGTGGGCGGAGGAGCGAAGGAGGGGGCGATCGTAGAGTACCAGAAGCCTGGGCCTCTCCTGAGGGAAGACGAAGAGGATCTTGAGATTAAGCTCCGAAGAATCATCGATAACGTTCCCGTTAAAGTCAGCAACACCTCCGGCAGCTCTGCGGGGTCCGGCTCCGGCGATTTCCATCAGGTTTTGCTTGGAGAGCTTTCAAAGTTTCGATTTTTTTCACCTCATTGCACAGATCAATTGTTTTGTTCGATTGCCTCCTTTGCTTGACTAATGCATTAAAAAAAAGGAAGAATTGCCAAGCAATAAGAATTAACAATAACTCTGTCCAATTTTTCGAAAATTCTGAGATTGACCAGCTGTATCACTCCTGGTAAAGTACTGACCTGTAAACTTCATGTCAACCAAACAAGTATCTAACAGTAAGGATTGAAGCTCACAAAGATCTTTTATTCTAACTGACCTACCATTTTTCTTTTCATCAACTTGTGCGATGCAGTTAAATTCACCCAGGATAACCCAAGTTCCTGTAACTTGAGAATAACCACTGAACCCCCTTGACATTCAACCAAACAGTGAATCATTTGAGATGTGATCCACAGAGGATGAACGCGAATCTGCTGGTTATCCCATAGAAGCAATACTCTACCATTATCACAATAATCAAAGTTGTGTGCATAATCCCATCCGTAAGCAATTCTATCCACAACAGATTTTGCTTTATTAGAATTAAGCTTGGTCTCTAATAAGGCAAAAAGAGACATGTTATTACTATAAAGAAAACTTTTAGGACATCCCGCTATTTATTAAGGTCATTTAGACCTCTTATGTTCCAGCTTCCAAAGATACTCATCCAAATTTGTTAGAATGAGAAGCACTACTAGCCCCTTTACCCTTCAGCTCAGCAGAAGTACCCCTTGAATTTGGTTTACTTGTGTCAGAGTTTAGGACCTCATTCACTCCTTATAAAGATTCAAAGGAATTGATTGTATTGATTACTTCATAACCAGATTGGATGAAAGCAAAAAAATAAAAAATAAAAAAAATAAAAAAACAGTTTCATGAAAATGGCCTCAAATACTTGGCAGATAGCTTCACTAGTCTATTGTAGGTGGGGATATATAATACCATACTGTTCTTGTTTTAATTTGCAATATGTGCCAGAAAAGCAGGGCTGCTAATTAAGATAGTGCACAACCTTTAGTAGTATAAAAGTATATGGAGCTAAATTATTAAGGAAAGAAGAGGAATATGTTCGTCGATATTTTTTTTCCTTTCATTTGACTATATATGATTGATGATATTTTGTGTTGATTTTCTCATGATATACATAGCTTTCCTTAGTGATCCTAACTTTTTATAGAAAGTATTGAACACCATGTATGTTATCCAATTTTATCCTTTAACTTGTGTCTAACATCGGTGTTCCTCTAAAAGAGGGGTAACTACTTGGTGAATGAACAAAGTCGTTCATCATTCTTGTACAATATTCTCCCAATCAAAAGTAGTTGTAGCCATCCAATTTTGCAAATTGAGAATCTTGCAGTGACTATTTGCCCCCCAACCTCTGCACCAAGGTACTATTTGCACCTCTACTTGCTTTCAGCATGCAGTTTCTTGTGCCATTCATGGGGGCTACAACTGCATGCATTCCTCAAGGAAGATGTCAATTCAAATGTCACAAGTTGAAACAATAAGGGTGTGTTTGGCAATCACCCTAAGACTAGGTTAGGATTGATTTTAACCCAGTTATAAACTAAACTAGTGGGGGAGACAAAGGAAAACCAGTTTTTAGGGGCCAATTTTGTCCTTGTAAGAACTGGTACAATGTTGGGCATGGTTTATCCAAACAGAATTCTTCTCAAAATGGGGCTAGATCAACTTGGTTCCGTATTGCGAAGTTGCCAAACAGGCCCTAAGTGTTAGCACAGAAAGTAACCATATTCATATCCTCGGCTAAACATAGCTTGTGATTCTAATGTATTTATCTGCAACCTGCACTATCCTTGGTTGGGTTGGAATTCACTCCCTTAACACTACAGTATGTTTATACTACTGTACTTTTGAGATTCGGACGTATTGATGAAGATTTTTTTTGAAGGTCTCTTCACATACTCTAGGATTCTCATTTGCACCTCACATATAGTTGTTTCCATATATCTATATTCGGGGTGTCGTTGTGTCCCACATTTCGTGACCGTGTCATTGCGTGTCATATTTTTCCTAGTCTGTAAATTGTGGCATAAAATTGTCAAAGTATCACATGGATAGTGGAAACTGTCATTTCTAAAAATGATTTTTGCTATGGAATGTCTTCAATATTGTATATTTTAATTCAAAAGTAAACCCACAAGTATCACCTAAACCAGATGCAACATGACACTAATATAGGAAGAAGCTGCCTGATGGAAAGGATGATCTGACTATACTCTGTTTATTTCTTGATGGAAAGGATGATCTGCTTATACTGTGTTTCTTTATTATTATTTTTGGGTGCAAAGAGTCCTTTGTTTATTTGAGTGTGCACTACTTGTTGTTTTATTTGATCTCCTTGATTTTGCCACATTATTGTCACACTACTGTCAAATCAAAAGATTCATTCCACCTGAGAGATTGAATGGGTAATCATCTCATGGTCATTTGGTTCTTGATTTTTCCATATTATTGTCACACTACAGTCAAATCAAAAGATTCATTCCACCTGAGAGATTGAATGTGTAATCATCGTCATTTGTTTAGTGACCGTAAAGATTGCTGGTGCATGGTAGAGTGAAATCCAATGCAGAAGAAGATTGCTGGTGCATGGTAGAGTGAAATCCAATGCAGAAGAAGATTGCTAGAACCCCTCTATCATCAAATTGTGATTGGACATGTGCCCCTCTATTTTCAATATTTTAATTATTTTGATTAGAATTGCATATTTTAGTGTGTTACTTCTCTCTTGTTATCTACCACCTCCCTCTTCTTTTATCTCTAGCCCAAACAAATCCTCCCCTCTCAATGTTGATTTTTTAACCTCATCAATTTCATGAGTACAACCAACCCCACGGCTTCACCTTCGCTAGTGTCTCCTCCATCCTCGCCGTTGAGTGGTGATGAGATTGACCTAACTCTATGTCTATGCATGGCCCAATCTCTTTCTCAGCCTTAGATGCAATCTCTCCCCCCACCTTGACCACCTGATCCTGATGTCAACGTTCCATTGTGATCTTTGGTGGTTCTTCCTTCGAAGTACAAATATTGTTTTAGCCGATAGTGTTTCTTTCTTCTTCTCCCCCCCCCCCCCCTTTTTTTTTTTTGGTTGGTTGGTTGGGGTGTGGGGGGTGTGGGGGTTGTCTTGCTAGCGAATGTGACTTTTCATGAGCTTCGGGTTAGGCTTTGGATTTGCTTAGCCTTTTCTTTTACTTTTTTCTGTTGCTTCAGAATTCTTTTGAAATGTATGCTTTTGATTTTAGAGAATGGAAGTGCAAGCACCTTAAGAAAGCTCTGTGTCGATGAATATACAAGGTGTTAGGCTTGACATTTCTATGTGCGCTACATAAATTACTTTTATATAATTCAAATCGGATTCGCCCAAAAAACTTTGAAAATTGTAGAGTAGAAATGAGGATAGATAGTCGTGATGTTCAATTTTTCTGTTTAGCTTGGTCTTGTTCTTTTACATTTTCTAGTTATGATTAATGAAAAGAAAAATATCATGTAATGAAATTGACCTTAGAAAAGTTTTTGAGAATTCCAGTAGAAAATGAGTTTACATATATATCTACTGAGCAGTATTGAGTGGTGTATTGAACTTCACAAAAGTTACAATCAAGTAAGATATCACTCAATAGTTTTCAGTAAACAACTTTGTAATACTCATATTCTAGTGAAATTGTCAAAATTTATAGGTCTGTTTCATTACTTGATCCTAACTAGAAAAATGTAAAACGCAACATCAAGCTAAATAGAAACACCGCATACCCTCTTTTTTGTACTCTACAATTGTCAATGTTCTCTGGGCGAATTTGATTGGCGTTTTTATATAACTAGGCAATGTGGTGTGCTTAAATCTCAAGCCCAAACACCTTAATATCTTTTATTGATACAGGGTTCACCGAAGTTGCTTGCACTGTGGTCATTATTTGAAATTAAAAAAGCACCAATTCAAAATAAAGCACCAACTCAAAAATCACCAATTCTAAAGAACTTTGGAGCCACAGAGAAAGGGAAAAGTGAAAGATGAGCAAACCCAAGAAAACCTGATGCAATGCCCACAGAAAGTGGCGTTCCCCGGCATCCCACTGTTCTGCTGGCTTAAGCAATATTTGTAATTCGGAGGGATAACCAAAGGTTGCACTGGGAGGTCGACATCATGTAGACGTCGGTTGGATGAGAGGCTGCAGTTATTGGCCGTTAGATGACCTAAAATGGGAAAAGATGGGAGGGAGAAACTCAGGATTGGGCCACTTTGTGAATTTTGTTTGCTTTCCTTAGTTCTCGAGTTTGTTCTTATGCTGATTTTGTTTAGTAGCTTGAAGTTTTATTTGGCTACTTAGTAAACGAATAAGTTGGATGTTATAATATGTCGAGAGCAGTGTTCAACTCAAGTATATTTAGTTGGATGTTTACTAGTAGAATTAATAGTATTACTTGTTGTGCCTGTTTTATTTTATTTTATTTTTTTTGGGGGGGTGGGGGGTATGTGTTTATGCCTTGGGAGGTATTGGTTTCTTTATCGTCCCAATCATATATCTTAAGTCCCTTCCACTGCACTGAAACTCCAGAATGGTGTTGAGAATTGAGTGTGTCATTATTTTATATTCCGACTTGAGATTGAGATGTCCTTTTTGGCTAGAAACTTGGATTATTTTATGAAACAATATACAGTTATTTTACAATACACCTTAAATACGTGTTTAGTGAGATTTGAAATTGGGTTGCTTCAGTACCATCTTAAAGTTCCTTCCCATGTACTAAAACTCCGGAGTCTTGGTGACGGTCAGCGGTTATAATTTTATTTCAAGTAATATAAATATGTAATAATATTTAAGAAGCTTCAGAAACTTTATTTGTTTAGTATGTCGATACCATATTGAGATCTGTCAGGTTTTTCATGTTGCTTTCTTTTCAGTTATCTTATTAGACAGCGCCTGCTCTCTCTTCATATATGTTATAAAGTATTTATCGTATTGGGAGAATAGAGCGTGCATGTGTCTAGTCCCACATTGCCGACTATAATAGAGGAGAGACCTACTGTAAAAGAATAATAATATATCATTCATTTGCTTGTTTGTGACAGTATCGCCAAATGAGACGAAAGGAACAAGATCGGGTTGCAAGGATGGATGCAGACTACCAAAGGAGGAAAGAGATAGCCGAGTTTAACATGAGACGGGAGGAAAGAATGAAAGCTGCAGAAGAGAGGACTGCCAAGAAACGCTTGAAACGACAAAAGAAGAAACAAAAGAAGAAAGAAAAGAAAACTAAGACGTGTGGTGATGATGGGGAAGAACATCAAGGAGAAGAGAATCACAAAGAAGAATCTTCAGATAGCGAGGATTCGGATTATGATGACAGTGAACAACTGAAGTTGTCAATTTCGGATAAGATTCATTAGGACCTGCTCCGTATTGATCATGTGCACGCTAAAGTGTAAAATGAAATGCAGCCGAGAACTATGATTTTCCAGTGATGATCATGATGCCGCTGCTGCCTAGTTTAACTTTTTTCGATACGGGGGCATTATATCTGTGTTCAGTTCTAACAGTTCATGATGATGTATCTCAAGAGGAGCATACTGATATGTCAATGAAAGATTAAGATTGGGATATATTTTGATAGATCTGAATATGGATAGTCTTTTTTTTTCGTGTTCTTGTGGAACCTTTGTTGCGGCATTTCCTAAATTGGAGGCATGTACTTTTTATGGTTGCAGCTTCTTGACTGAACTTCGATTCGGAACTTCTTGACTTCACATTTCTTAAATTGAATATATGATTTTGGGTTAACTTCAGAAAGACCTCCTCAACTATGGCGGATGCATCAACCAACACACACACACACACAAAATTGTGCATGTTATTGATAACCCCACTTAACTTTTTGAAACCTTGAGAAAGCCCCTATCAACTATGGGATGTCTCACAAAATATCCCCAAATCTTTCACACTTTTCTCACCAAACCCCCTCTGAGGTCATTTCAAAATATAAAATGAGTGAAATATTCTATTGATAATCATCTCATTCAATTATAAAGAAATTCTCAATCAGTAAAAACAATATCTTGGCCTCCGTTTGGATACCATATTGTTTTCCATGTTGTGTTTTTGTAAAAAATCACAATGGTGTTGTGTTTTCCCCTAAGGTGTTTTCAAAACACCATGCTAAGTGTTATTGGTCAACACTTGTTTGACCGATTATAATATTAGTATTAAATATATGATAATAGTAAATATGATACAATATAATATTGAATAATGTATTATCATATCATATTGTACTTTAATGTATTATATTATATTATAATTATTACATACTATTTTCAAATAAAAATATATTTAATTATTTTGGTATATTAATTTGTTAATACAATATATTATATATTATTTTTAAAATGATATTATTTTACTATTAATATAATATTATATTATTACTAATAAAATATATTATTATTATGTTATTACTAGTATATTACTTATAAATTAATATTTATTAAATATTTCAACATTATATAATATATTACAGTTTCTAATATGTTAGAGTTTACTAAATAATTACTTTAATAGTATATAATAAAGTATTATTATTATATTAATATTATTATTATTATTATCTATACTAACATTTGTTAGCAATAATTATTTTATTATTAATAAATTATTTTAACATTATAATATTATATTACTTATTATATAATATATAATATATAATATTATTTTATTACGTAATATATTGCATTTTATATTATATTATTCTGTACTATATAATATATGCTATATTTATATTATTTAACATATTATTATTCTTTTTATTCTTAAATATGTTGCCATTATTATAACCATTTTATGCTTATTAATTTATTACATATTATTTATTTAAAAAAATTAATAATACTAATAGTGATTATAATTATCTGTACAATATATTATTATATCAGTATTAACATTATTATTTGTCATCAATAACCTTTGTTTATATTTTATTAATTTATTATATTTTATTATTATTTTTTAGTATATTGAATTTAACTATATTAATATATAATACATTTTCAAGATATTAAATATTAGTATTTAATATGTTATATATATTATTATATAAGATATTTTAATTCATTAATATATTCTTATCAATTATTTAATAAATAGTACTAATATATTAGATGAACTATAATATACTATAGTATAATATAAGTATAATAAGCATTGTTGATAATGGACTATACATTGAATTATATTTAATATGTTATGTTAGATATTATATTAACAGCTCCTCAGACTCAAAACAAACACAAAACTTAAAACACATCAAAAATTGCTTTTAAAATAAGTGTTATATGTTTAGTTTGATGATGATTTAGCTCACAAAAACACCTTAGTTTCCAAGATGCTATGGTGTTTTGTCTTTTAGCAAAAAACATTATAAAATAAGAAAAACAGCATGGGTTATCAAACGCAGACTTAAGTTACAAATGATTTTCTCTCTCTCTCTCTCTCTCTCTCTCTCTCTCTCTCTCTCTCTCATCTTTAAAAAAATAAAGTATTTTTTTTATGATTTGAGGGTTATTTCTATCTTTTTCAATCACTTATTGTCATGTGACATGCTAGAACCTAACAATGTTAGCATTCAGGGTGTAAAGTGAAAATAATTCATGGGGTTTCTCGAATTTTCAAAACTTGCTGGGGGGTGGGGGGTGATTAAGTGAGAAAAAGTTTAGACGTTCCTCTCCAAGCTTTCACAGTTCGAGCAGGAGTTATCTACAATATGTTCAAATTTGAGGGCGTTTCTTAAATTAAAATAGCTGAGGGAGTTTCTGAGACAAACCCCCATGGTGATGGGAGGTTTCGAAAATATCTATGATTTTATGTAGAGAGGCTCTCTACACGAGTCCCCCCCCCCCCCCCCCCCTCAATTACCTAAGTTTTATGCCCGTTGTTACACAGATTGATATGATTCCTTTGATTTGTATATGTTGACTTAAATTCTAATTTGTTTGTTGTTCTAAATGGAATTTTGTCGAAATTCCTTCCCTTTTTGGCTACCACTTATTCTTTTGTGTTCTCGTGACCACACAAATGAGTATGGTTTAATCAATCACCTATTTCCTCTACTCTTCTTGAAGCCAAACCGATTTACTAAACCCCATTTCGTGTTATTTAACTACTTATATTCTCTATAAGTTCTACTTGTTTCTCACCCTTCTTCTCTATAAACTATAATAGCGCTCCTCATTTTGGCACGCCCCAACCATCATTCCCTTCCTCTTTCCCCCATCAGATAATGCTTTAAATTCCAAATCTTTTCTGCACTCAAAAAACTCTGAAATTCCTTCGCCCTCGCCCTTTCAAAATTTTTAGCGGTCTATTGGTAGTTTTCGAATTTAAGGGGTTTGTTTGTAATTGTCAGATCTTAAAGGGTGTTTGTTGTATTTGTTTCTCATGGTGTTGTTTATAGTTTTTAGATCTCTCAGGGTTACTTGTAATTTTTAGATTTCATAGGGATTGTTTAAATTTTTGAAATTATGGGGAGTTGTTGGAATTTTATATTTCAGAGGGTGCTTGTAATTTTAGCTTTTTCAGGAGGTGATTTGTAGTTTTCAAATCATTAGGGGTCTTTGTAATTTCAGATATTTTGAGGATAGTTTGCAATTTTTGGAATTTAAGGAAAGTTTAAATAATGATCATATTTTAAAGGGGGGCAATTTATAACTTTTAGATTTTTAAAAGGTTGTTTGTAATTTTTAGATTTTAGATTTTTAGATGAAGAGAATCTATGAGGTGATTGAAATTGGTTATGTCTCTTATAGATCCTGCTCTACCACTCTTCTCTTCAATACTCATAGTCATGTTAAAATCTCCAAAGACAACCCACGGCTTAGAAATTGAAGACCTAATCCTCAAGAGTTCCCACCAACAAACTTCTCTATCAATATTGTCATGAGGGGCATAAACAGAGGTAGCTGCAAAAGCCCAGATAGATTGTTTATGAATGAAGTGAGCAGTGACAAAAGATCCCAATGCTGGAAGAAGAGCAGGATATAGATGAGTCTCTCCAGCCCAAAAGGATACCACCTCTAGATTCAGAGGCTTCTAAAGGGATCTAAGAAAAATTGGCACTCAAACTATTGATGATTCTAGGAGAGGAAGAATTCAGCTTGGATTCTTGAAGACCA